TAGAGGCTTAACTCTTAAGTGGGTTTGCATTATAGTCTTATTTTTTCTTTACATTTATGCCCATGTTTCAACCTCTCTTTGACCTTCAAAATTACCTATTTTGTGCCCTCTTTCAAAGTCTCATAACCCCACTAACATCTCTTCCCAAAACCAAATTTCTGCTTAGAAAAATTCTACATACAAAGTAGGATTTGCTTAAAGTAGTATATTGAGCTTTTGGACTTAATTGTGGCTTTTCTATTTCCTTTTTGCGGTTCCTTGCTAATCCCTTCTTAAAGTGACTTAATGAACATTGGACTACACCTTAGGCTTGATTTTAAACCCCTTTTTGCCTCCAAAATTTCAGTCCACACCAAGTTTAGCAACAGAAAATTTTCTGCTATCAAAAAAAAATAAAATAAAATAAAATAAAATAATCTGCACATTTGTACTTGATCTCCTAAGCAAGTTGGGATGGATTAAGCTAGGTGTTCCAGTTCTCTTTCAAACTCCTTTTTAGGGTGACTAAACCCCCACTTAGGCAGCTTATCAAACTAAATTTTTAAGCTCCCACCAGGCCCTAGAAGGTTGGCCAAACCATGACATTGCTGCAGAAATTTTTCTGCAACACCTTTTCTGCACATTCGACTGTTTCGTCAACAAATTTTTGGTGATTCAAGCTTACTTTAGTGCCTTCTTTTTCTCCCTTCTAAATTTTCCTTAACCAGCACTTAAGCCCCTCATTTAGCTGGCTCTTAAGCTCATCCAAGTCCTAAGAATTTCAGCCTACATGAGAACCTGCTGCTAAAAATTTTCTTGCTGACAGTTTGCAACACCTTTCTTTCAATTCTTCCATAATTTGCATAATTAAAGCTGGTTTTTTGTTTTCCTTTACAATTTCTTACTAAGGTGGCTTAATTAACCTTCAATTAACTTATGGAAATTGAAATTTTGAGATCATTCTAGCTCTCAAATTTTCAGACAGAACTGGTGCACCAGTGCAGAATTTCCTGCATTACAGTTCAGCATCCCCTCTACCATCTACTAATTAATTTGGTGAAATGGGGCTTAAACCATGCTCCTTCTTAACTCCTCTCCTAAACTAGCTTAATTATCATCTAATATACAATTTGGACTTGATTTTTCCCTACTTAAGTCCCCAAGAATATTGGCCCAAGCAGAGCTCCTCTGCAGAAATTTTTCTGCAGAGTACTCTGCTCCCTTTCCAGCAATTTCCAGCTGGTTTATTCCTCCCCTTTGCTAAATTCTCTAACACTCTACTCCATCTCCACCTTCCCTCATCTCTCTGGTTTCTAACACAAAACTACAGCAATATATATCACCATTTAAACACAAATTTACAGCAATTCATTCAGCATTACTGATTTCAACCCAAAATTCTCTAAACAAACTACAAAATCTTGCAATCCCTTTCCTCCTCTCAATTTTGGTTCTTACAGCAGAATTTCCAGTAGGATTCTAGCTCTTCCACAAGTTTTGTTTTTAGCCATGAAAACAGGAATCAAGTTGACACAAAGCTGAAACAAGAAAAATTTATAAAATTTGAAGGATTTCAAAGAATCATAGCTTGATCGTACATTTTTTTTTCCCTTCTTTTCTTGCCTTCAGCCCCTTTCCTTTTTCTTCTCTAATTCTTGCTCTTCAAGTCCATGACTCAACTAATTAGAGGCATCCCTCAATTACAGCTTTGTCTATACATACATATATGAGGCTCAAGTCATGGCTAATTGCACTTAAGTCCTCCATTTTCTCTCAAGTTCTCAAATTCTCCTCCTTTCTTTTTAATTTTGCATCTAACCCCCTCTTGTTTAATCACTCAATAATATAATTAGTTCATTAATTAACTTCCTAAATCCTTTACCTTGAAATACTCTCTAAAGGCTTCAATTATTAAACTTTTTTCTAAATTTGTAATTAAAATTTCTAGATAAACTCTCATAAACTTTTTGAATTAAGAATATAAATGCTCACATTATGCCTACTAATATGATATGCATGAAGGTATGAATGTATACATGCACATAAGCTGTATAAATGCTATGGGTGCGAGTCCTACATGCCTGATTTGGTTGGGGACACCACAATTCTACCCCCTTAAAGAAATTTCGTTCTCGAAATTGGTACCCAGAGTCTAGAATAAATAGGCATACTTTGCCTTCATTTCATCCTCTCATTCCTAGGTGACTTCTTCCTTATCTTGACTTCTCCATAATACTTTTACCAATGGTACTTGTTTAGACCTCAACTGCTTAACCTCCCTTCCAAGATTTGCACTAGTTCTTTCACATAAGATAGGTCATCTTTTAATTCCACTAGTGGAGTAGTGAGGACATGAGTAGGATCTATTATGTACTTTTGCAACATGTATATGTGAAAGACATTATGAGTCTAGGATAATTTTGGTGGCAAGGCAAGTTTGTAAGCAACTAGGCCTATTCTCTCTATAATCTCATAGGGACCAATGTATTTAGATGTCAGCTTGCCTTTCTTGTCAAATCTCAAGATGCCTTTCCATGGTGATATCTTGAGGAAGATTTTGTCCCAACATTAAAATGTACATCCCTATACTTTGGGTCCAAATAGCTCTTGTATCTGTCTTGGGTCACTTTCAATCTATCTCGGATAATCTTAATTTGCTCAACTGTGGTTTGTACAATCTCTAGCCCTAACAACTTCCTTTCTCTTTCCTCATCCCAGCATACTGTCGTCCTACACTTTCTTCCATATAGAGCTTCATATGGTGCCATCCCAATGCTAGAATGATAACTATTATTGTACATGAACTCCGCCAAAGGCAAATGATCATCCCAACTACTAGAGAATTTTAACACACACCTTTATAACATATCTTCTAGGGTTTGAATCATCGCTCAGATTGTCCATTAGTCTAGGGGTGGAAGGTTGTACTAAAGTGCAACTTAGTGCCCATGGCCCTCTATAAACTAGACCAGAATCTAGAACTAAATCTAGAATCTTTGTCAGATACTATTGATACTGGCACTCCATATCTGCTGACTATCTCATTTACATATAATTTGGCCAGTATGTCCCATGAGAAAGTACTCTTAATAGGTAGGAAATGAGCTTTTTAATTAGCCTACCAACTATAACCTAGACAACATCATTCCTTTTCCTCGTGGTTGGCAGTTTAGTCACGAAGTCCATGGTAAAGTGCTCTCTTTTCCACTCTGGAATAGGTAATGGCTATAATCGGCCCACTAGTCCTTGGTGTTCTACTTTCACATGCTAGCATATTAGGCACTTGGTGACATAGTTTACTGCTTCTCTTTTCATACCACTCCACCAGTAGCTCTACTTAAGGTCACAATACATCTTGATACTCTTAGGATGCATCGCAAAGGCCGAATTGTGTGCTTTTTCTATTGTCTGTTCTCTGAGATTCCTTGCTTTGGTCATGCATAGCTGGTCCTTAAACATCACTATGCCATCATCTTTCAATCTGAATTCACTTTTCTTTCCATTTTGAATATCTGTGATTACCTTCAAAAGCTATGGGTCTTGCCTTTGCATTTCCTTAATTTGAGATATCAAGGTGCGTCTCACCTAGAATCTAGCTAGTAATGCTCCATGATCTAATACTAATAGCTGTGCATTCAAAAATCTCAACTCTACTAGCAATGACACATGCACTGTTTGTAAGGTAGAGAGCATAGCTAAGGATTTTTGGCTAAGAGCATTAACAACGATATTTGCTTTGACAGGGTGGTACTAAATGGTCCAATGATAATCCTTTAGAAGCTCCACACATCGGCGCTGCCTTAGATTCAACTCCTTCTATGCCATTATATACTTGAGGCTCTTTTGATCTGTGAATATCTGACAATACTCTCTATATAGATAATGCCTCCATAGATTAGATCCAAAATAAATTGAATCACATTGACACCCATATCACTTAGTAATAGAAAGATAGACTTCGATCACTATGTGTTCTTTTTTATCCTTGAGTATATTAAAATCCAAGTGTAGCAACTTTATTTTATACTAAGAAAATTGAAATCTTAATTACAAAAAAAAAAAAAAGATTACAATATGTTAGAATATATTTATAAGTAAAAATGTGCTTGTCATGATAATTACAAGTAGTTATCGTCTTTACTCATAGATATTTTATTCCACCATTATAGAGTATATATATAATATTTAAAATATATGTGTTTTACATATGGAGAACTTAAAAGAAAAATGAATGTCGCAGACTTATGCGCATACACAACCCCCTCTCTAAGTGTCTCTTGAATGTTGTGGGGAAATTATTTCATTTCCTTCCATTGCTTCTCTCCACAATTTTCACACTTCCCCCTTTCTAACATTGTCCAACCTAGATACTTAGCTTTACCCCCTCACTTATATTGCCCTCCATCACCGTTTTGCCTTTCCCTTTACCTACTAACCCATGACTCATATGCCCTATGCCGACGATGACTCTCACTTTATCTGGCATTTCCCTCACTCCAATTGCACTCAAGCTAGTTGATACTAACTTCGTCTCTGGTCTTCCTCTCACAAAGGTACATTTAGTGTTTATTGTTGTTTGTTAAGGTCTAATTTTGGTTTTGCCTGTTCTCTGATGTCTCTGTTCACAAATATTTCTTCGATTATATGTTTCATTTGGTTCTATAATTTTTTTATTCAATTAGGGTTTCCTCGTTTATAGGTTTTATTTGGATCTCCAATTTTTTGTTCAGTTAGGATTTCTTCAATTATGGGAATCAATCTAGTTCTCTAATTGTTTTTTTTTTTTTTTGTTTAGTTAGGGCTTGTTTGATTTTCAATTTCCAGACTCTATAGACATTGAAATAGAGTAGGAACCGAGAATATGTACATGTAAGAATCTGGTTTACAGTCTCTATATGTTCAATTGGGCTTATTTGATTTTTAGTCTCCAGATTCCTTATTTCTTTTTTAATTTTACTTGTATGTCTTCTTTAACAATGCTAACCAAGCATTCTGTCTCTTTGTTGACCTCTATAAATCAGTGTCATCCTTTGTGACTCTCACAATATTGCGAAGGTCAAGAGTGTTAGAAGAAGCAAAATTTTGCATATTCTCAAGCCTCATGGTAACATTTTAAATTTCTAATTGGTTCAATGAGGAAAAAGAGTTGGTTTTATTTTATTTTTTTTTTTGGGGGGGGGGTTTATTTGTTTTCTAATGCTAATTGATATTTATGCTTGTTTATGTCTTGCTCCCAAAATTCTTGAGGTTCTATACCACCTAATTAAGAAGGCAGTTGCGATTAGGAAGTGTCTGGAGAGGAATAAGAAAGATAAGGATTCCAAGTTTAGGTTGATTCTTGTCGAGAGTAGGATCCATAAGCTCACCCTGCTACTACAACAAGACTAAGAAGCTCCCACCCATTTGGAAATAGAAAGTTTTCTATATTCTTCCTCTTTTAGAACATTTGTGAATCATGTTACACTTAGAGAAGATCAAATGTTGCTAATTTATCTCTAAACTAAGGTACTAAGTTGCATCGCATCAGCACTACATAGCAATTCAGCATTATAGAATGTAATTGAAGGAAAAATTAAGTTTTCTAACATTAAACAATTTGCATTTTGGAACCTTTGGAATTTTACTTTAGGCCTCAGAAGAGGTTCATGTAGTTAGAATTTTAAGAAATGGGGTTCAATCATTCACTGGAATAATGAAAAACTATTTTGACATGTAGTTTTGGTGCCAATATTTTGAAAAAGTGTCTACGTTGTCATGAAAATGAATTTTGTCAATATTTTGCACCTCAAGTACTTTTTGTGGTTGTGAGTTGCTGGATATGCCACCTAGTTTGTAATGATCTTCCCACTTTTGCAGTTTCCACATGCTCTTTTGATTTTAATTGATGTATGCATATTATTTGTTTGAATTCTACTTTATGGCAACTTGAAGGAAGTTTAAATGCACTTTTTTGAAAATTTCTTAGAATGGTTCACCCCATTGAAGCTTCAAAATAAAATTCGAATTACTTTACATGAAGTGTTTTATTTTCCTTTCTTGCCTTTGTTATGGTAATGTGTATTATAGCATGTTGGTGCAAATGCAAATGAATTCCTATAAATGACATTGAGCATCTTCCTTAGTCCTTGAAAGCTATAGTTCCATTTAGTGATACCATTTTCTAATGATTTGAATTTGCTTTCGGTTGCACCTGACTAAAGCTCTGCATTGCAGTTTGTGAATGGTGTACCATCACCTACTTTTAGAAAGATGAACAAGCTAGGAATACTCTGATTCTCAATCCTACACCTCCTAAAGCAAATATTTTCCACTTTGCAAAGATAAACAGATAACAAAAACTAATACCACATTTGTATGTCTAACATTTCTAATGCCTAAATCAAGTTAACAAATGTTCAATATTATAACATTTAAATTAAGCTAAGCAACATAATAAATTTATTAAAAATTGAGAAATAAGAAATAAAAAATAGAACAAAGATGGAAAAAGAGAAAAAAGCAAGGTAACTAGAACACATAACAAGCTAAAAGAAAACAATAGCTTAAGAATAGGGAAACTTAATTTTAACAAGTCAAAGTTTTTGTACTATTTGGCTAATTTAAGATTATTGGATCGAGACACCTTCAATTTCTTAGATTTTTTACTTCATTCAACAAATTTTAGTTCATTCAATAAATGTCCCCCATGAAGTAGAAGACAAATCTTAAGTTAAAGATCCTTATTTCTATATTAAATGACTTGGTGAACAGAGAGATCTAAGACTTTCTTATGTCTAAACAGGGCCATGAGATGCCACTTCTTCATTTTGAAAAATAACAATAGAAGATTATTGAAGGATATAACTAATTCTCTATGCTTTCTTATCTGCTTGTTGCATTGAAAACTAACTATTTGCCTTTTCATATATGGAACCCCATGAATATAATATCAACTCACTTGCTTATATGTTCTTTAGATTGATTACTTGCTAGCTACTTTTGGCCAAGGTGGACAAATACTTAGTGGGAGTCAAGAGCAAAAATTCTAACAAAGGAGCTGCTTCTAGTTGTGAAAGCATTATCTGGCAAGTATTCTAATACTTTCAAATTTTCAGCTACTTACAAAATGAATTTCTTCATTTGTTGAATGTTGAATATGAGAATGTGGACGAGTTAGAGTTGAAAGTTGTATTTTAGATGTGTAGTAGTCTTATTTTCCATATGATTTTTGACTTGCATGACTTGCCATGTGCAACACTTTTATGATGGTGGATTATTACTGGATATTGAGGTGGACAAGAAATTGTAGTTAGAGTACAATTTCTTATTTTAAGAAAACTATTATTTTCCATTTTTGAATATCTGCTTTCTTCATAGGAAGGTGGATGAATTTGATAAAGCAATTATGGACACTAGAATCTATCTAATAAACTTAGATAGCTTCCCATGATATGAAGATAGAATAAAATTTAAGGAACGATAAAGATAGTTTTCTTGGAATTAAGTAGTAAAAGAACTAAAAAGTAAAAGAGTTATCTTGGAACTTGAACAATGAAAAATACAACATGTACAATGCCTTAAGCTTTATTGGCATTTTCGCATGATATTTGGCATGACTTGAAATCAATCTTAGTAAGATATGTTATATCGAACAATATGTAACCAAAATTAAGGACTGCAATGGAAAGCTAATCCTAATTAATGTGGTCAATTCATTAGCTAATCTTAATATGCCCTATGTACTAGGTTGGACAGCTTATTTATCACATTTCTATAACTAAATAAACCTTAATGTTGAATTGGTCATTAAACTATGTTACCATGAATTAGTTGCAACTATGGACAAGAGTTGGATTGATGACGGAGATAAGTTTGGTGCCAAGTATACTACTAGTGTTGAATCATTTATTTAGTTTTCAAAGAAATATGCTATTGGATTTGATAATAAGATTCTATGCCCATGTAATAGTTGTGAAAATACCAAGACAAAAAACCTAGTTGAAGTTAAGAAAGACTTGCACTTGAAGGGATTTTCTTTGTACTATTGAGAATGGGTACATCATGGGAAGCCAAAAGTTACGAATCCCTCTTTTATCAATGGAAGTACTGCCAATAGCATTCCCATTCCAAATGATAGATTCTGCTTTGAAGGTGGAGAGGATTATGACAAAGATAGTGATTTAATTGATGAATTACTCGAGATGATAGGGGAAATGAGAGATGCTGAATTTTTAGAGCCTAATGTTGAGTCAAATATGGAAACTTCAAAAGATTATTGAGTGATGTAAATTGTGAATTGTACCCTAGTTGCAAAAATTATTCTTTGCTGGCATTTATTGTCAAATTACTTCACATCAAGGTAACAAATAAAATGATTAACAAAACAATGAATATGATACTTGCACTATTCAAAGATGTTTTGCCAAAAGGTGATATAGTTCCACCATCTCTTTATTGGGTTAGAAAACTTCTTTCTGGAATAGGATTAGGGTATACAAAGATAGATGTGTGTAAATATGATTGTGCTTTGCTCTAGAAAGAGAATGAGAATGGAAAGTTTTGCCCCATTGGGAAGAGCCTTGTTGGAAAGTTATCGATCAAAAAGGAAAATGGATTGCTTAGAAGGTGCTGTGGTACTTTCCTTTAAATTCAAGGCTACAAAGACTTTTTATGTCCTCCAAAACTGCTTCTTATATGAGGTGGCATGTTGAGAAACGTGTTCATATAGAAGGCACTACGAGTCATCCAGCTAATTCATCTGCTTGGAAGGATTTTGATTTGCAATATCCTAATTTTGCCTTGGACCAATGTAATATCAGGCTTGGTTTGGCTATTGATGGATTTAACCCCTTTTGGAACCATGAGTAACTTCTACAGTATGTGACCTGTCATACTTATTCCATATAATATGCCATTATATAGATGCATGAAAGATGAATTTTTAATGATGTCTTTGCTTATCCCTAGTCCTCGTGCTCCTGGAAAAGATATTGATATTTATCTTAGGCCATTGATAGATAAGTTTAAAAAGTTGTGGAAAGGTGTGGAGACTTATGATATTTGTACTAAGCAGTCATTCCAAATGCGTGCAACAATTATGTGGATTATTAATGATTTGCCTACAATTAGTAATTTGTTGGGATGGATCACAAAAGGATATGGAGTATGTCCAAGTTGTTTTTACAGAACATATTCAAAAAGGATTAGAAGTAAGATATGTTATATGGGACATCGCCATTACCTAGATGATTGACATCCTTTACGGAAGTGTAAATTATTTGATGATAAGGCTGAAACATGTGGTAAGCCTAACGAATGGAGTGGAAATGAAATTCTATAGCAGTTGAACACCTTGGAGCATAGATTTGACAAATTTAGAAAGCATCCAAGCAAGCAAAAAGAGAAAGCGTAGCATGGAGGAAGAAATTGGGTAAAAAAATCCATATTCTTTGAGTTGCCTTATTGGGAGAAGCTAAAGCTCCAACATAATCTAAATGTGATGCATGTAGAGAAGAACATATGTTATAATGTATTGGGGACATTGATGAATATTGAGGGAAAAACAAAGGACATAGAAAAAAGCACAAGAAGATTTGTGTGACCTTAATATAAGGAAGGAGTTACACTTGCAAAAATGGGGAAATACTATAATAAGGTCAAAAGCATGTTACAACTTGTCTGCAAGTGAGAAAAAAAGCTTTTGTGCTTTCCTAAAGTCCATCAGATTCCCTGATGGATATGCAACAAACATTTCTAGATGTGTCAAAGATAGGAAAATATTAGGGCTTAAAAAACATGATTGCCATGTCCTCTTACAAAGATTAATTCTAGCTGGTATTCATGGGTATTTTTGCAAGGATGTCACTAAAGTATTGTTTGAGTTAGGTGAATTTTTTAATATCTTGTGTTCAAAGACATTAAGGATCCAAGGCAGAAAAAATGGAAGCCAATATTCTTCTCATTTTATGCAAGTTGGAGAAGATATTTCCACTGGCATTCTTTGATGTTATAGTCCATTTGGCAATTCACTTGCCTAACTAGGCAAAGATTGGTGGCCCTGTTCATTCCTGTTGGATGTATCTAATAGAAAGGTATATCACTTGTCTTATAACATAATTTTATTGACAATTATTTATAGTTTTTCTCCATATACCATTTTGTTGTATTAGGTTTCTTAAGTTGTTTCAAGGTTATGTGCATAACAAAACTCATCCAGAAGGGTTAATTACAAAAGGATGCATAGTGAAAGAGTGTTTAACATTCATGTCAATGTATGTCAGTGGAATTGAAACAAGGTTTAATAGAGTAAAGCGAAACTATGATGGTGTTGAAGACTATCCATATGCTGACTGTGAGCTGTTTGTCTTTGCTTTGAAAGTTTGACCTTTTGGACCTCTTAAACATTG